GAGGTCACAAAAGACCCCAGAACAACATCCAAAGAACTGCAGGCCTCACTTGCCTCAATTAAGGTCAGTGTTCATGACTCCACCATAAGAAAGAGACTGGGCAAAAATGGCCTGCATGGCAGAGTTCCAAGACGAAAACCACTGCTGAGCAAAAAGAACATAAAGGCTCGTCTCAGTTTTGCCAGAAAACATCTTGATGATCCCCAAGACTTTTGGGAAAATACTCTGTGGACTGACGAGACAAAAGTTGAACTTTTTGGAAGGTGTATGTCCCATTACATCTGGCGTAAAAGTAACACGGCATTTCAGAAAAGGAACATCATACCAACAGTAAAATATGGTGGTGGTAGTGTGATGGTCTGGGGCTGTTTTGCTGCTTCAGGACCTGGAAGAATTGCTGTGGTAAATGGAACCATGAATTCTGCTGTCTACCAAAAAATCCTGAAGGAGAATGTCCGGCCATCTGTTCGTGACCTCAAGCTGAAGCGCACTTGGGTTCTGCAGCAGGACAATGATCCAAAACACACCAGCAAGTCCACCTCTGAATGGCTTAAGAAAAACAAAATGAAGACTTTGGAGTGGCCTAGTCAAAGTCCCGACCTGAATCCGATTGAGATGCTGTGGCATGACCTTGAAAAGGCGGTTCATGCTTGAAAACCCTCCAATGTGGCTGAATTACAACAATTCTGCAAAGATGAGTGGGCCAAAATTCCTCTACAGCGCTGTAAAAGACTCATTGCCAGTTATCGCAAACGCTTGATTGCAGTTGTTGCTGCTAAGGGTGGCCCAACCAGTTATTAGGTTTAGGGGGCAATCACTTTTTCACACAGGGCCAGGTTTGGATTTTTTTTTTTCCCCTTAATAATAAAAACCTTCATTTAAAAACTGCATTTTGTGTTTACTTGTGTTATCTTTGTCTAATATTTAAATTTGTTTGATGATCTGAAACATTTAAGTGTGACAAACATGCAAAAAAATAAGAAATCAGGAAGGGGGCAAACACTTTTTCACACAACTGCATGTGTATATATATGTGTATATAAAAAAAAATAAAAATAAGCACTTTGTATTGTTGCCGATCATTTAACCCAATGAGCCTGAGCACAGATGAGGAGCTTTATTGATCACAGTCCAAGAAGAAGCCTGAGGATGGCCAGGCCTCTGTCATTATGAAACTCTATCTGGTCCTTCTTATCTTTAACCCTGTCTTATTAAGAACACTTTTTAAGATGTATGTTCACATTTTATTTTACTTTGTGACATAAAACTTAGTGCTGAAGGAGTTTGAAATTGTAATTGTCACAGTTCAGGAAAAGAGATGGATGGATTTCATTGAGTTAAGACTAATAACCAGGTCTCGTACGGTGTGTGTGTGTGTGTGTGTGTGTGTGTGTGTGTGTGTGTGTGTGTGTGTGTGTGTGTGTACGTTTGTCTCTCTCTGGTGCTGCTTTGTCTCCCTCTTTTAGCCTAGAAGTGTCTGTTTCACAACACAAGTGTGTATCGAGGCAATTTTACAAACGCTTCATTCCACTTCCCATTTATAGCTTCAACTGGTGATCCGCAAGATCCACATCTTTCCTTTTTGTCAGCCTCTGTGGCCACTGATGTGGTGTTTCTGCACTTCACCTCCCAGAGATCACTTGGCAGTCAAACCATGTGGCCACCACATCTGTCTTCTCTGACTCTCTGTTGAAGAAGCATTTGTCTTTGTGAATGATGACTGCTGGTGCAAAATGGTAGATCTAGAGGCGCCCTTGCTTTTTATATTGTAGTTTATATTTTAGATGGCTGAAGTCAAACTGCAGCCAGTGAACACAACTGCTGGAAATGATAAATAAATGCAACAACAAACTGCACCCTGAAAAGCAAATGTAGAGTGTGCTAGTTCTCCCTGCGTGGGCTACACTCACTTCAGAGTCCTCTGTGCTGCACTGTTTATTCAAAAAGTTTAGTTTTTGCTGTTGTTTTGCACGAATCTGTGGGAGTGTGGTTTGTTTTAAAGCTGTGTCCTGTTATTTTAATGTAAAATATTTCATTCAAAAATGCCAGAAGGCAATGTCTCACTCTCTCTCCTTCTGCTTCTCTCAGGGGAAGCGACTGCAGCCGAAAGCTCAAGAATGTAAGTGATACTTGTGGATTACAGAGGGATCATTTGTTTGTTTGCTAAATATATGTTTGGAAGTAAACTGTTTTTATGGTTCAGTGTTTCTGTTTGTGCTGTGGTTGTCACACTCCGCTCTTTGTCATGTCGCTTCCAGCTCTGTTCACTCCACAGTCAGCTCTGTACTATTCTACTAGAATACTATCTACTTTACTATCTCTAGTCTGACTTTAAAGATTTTATAAACATAACATTCATACATAAATATTTGAACACCAATACCATTTTCTGTACTTCATCTGCATCTTCTCTCTAGTTTACTTCTTCACATTCTGCATATTTCAATTCTCGGTGTCGTTCGTCTCCCTTTCTGATTGTCCATTTTCACAGTCCAAATGTTGTCTATTTCGGCCCCCTCTTCTCTTTTTCTATTAATGCTGCTTTAAGAAGAAACATATAATGCTAGCCCTGCCCACTCTGCAATCAGACCAGCTCTCTCTCTCTCTCTCTCTCTCTCTCTCTCTCTCTCTCTCTCTCTCTGGGATGCTGCTGTGTACAGTACAACTGTGTCGAGCTGCAGAGGGCCTGCTAGCTCATTTAGCTGACTACACACAGGGACTCTCAGCCAGCATTTGCAGCACAAACTTCCATCCGCTACAGGCTTTAGCTGGGACCTGCTACCGCGATATGCTTTGGATGTTCCCTGCAGACTGAGGACTAGGATTTGATAGCGGCTGTCTCTGCAGCACATCACATATTGAGAGGTGAAGGGACTGCACCAAGAAGAATTTGGTGATAAAGATGTTGTTAGGTAGATTGGATGTTGAAGTAAAAAGTGGGTCTTGCATGAATGGGTGTAATATTGCTGGAGATGATCATTTAGCAGTGCAGTTGTGAACAAGAACGGGTGTGTGTGTTGCGATGACTAGTTTAGAGCATCTGTATCTCGATGTACCACTACAGGTCTACAGATGTGTGCATGCAAGCGCTTGTGTGCACATCATGTTTTTGGATTGTAGGTGCATTTTTGGGGGGTTTCTTCATTCCCTTGTGTTTGCATCACTTAACTGTGTTTGCACTTGAAACAAAGAGGTGATTGTTGTTTTTCGATGGAACCTCTTTGACAGGTCTTTCCGCACCTGCCAGATCAGACAGCTGCTGAAACTGAAGCGTGTGACGCTGTGCACTACTTTACTGTCAGGCCCGCCGTTTACATTTCTGACATGTTTTCTTTGAACTATGCCTGGTGCTCGTGTCAAAGTTTCGGTTTTGGTGCAGTTGTTTGTTGAAGGTTTAGTGTAGCATGTGTGAATCATGCAGGGCACAGTTGTAGAATTCTCTCCCGTTCAGTTGCGATCAATATGGATTTTATAGCATACTAGTAAGCAGCTGAAACACATTTGATGCTGACCCACTTCCAGTGGGAGCTGGCACAGATATTAGCATTGTATTGGTGACACAGAAGCAATAAACTCTGCAGCTCCGGGTCCTAAAGTGTGCAGATAATGAAGCATAATAACCACAGCGGTTGCAGTCTCGCTTTAGCGCTACTATTGTAGATGAATGGCACTCTGTGAGGAAGCAAGATGAAATATCCTGTGCTTCTAATGCACTTAACGACAAATGCTATAACTGCAAAACTTTTACCAGTAGTTTAGATCTACCTTTAAAAAGGCTTCTGGTTATCCCCGGTGGTCTGGTGTCCACTCTTTTGAAGTCTCCTTGGGCTAAATATTTATCCCTCCCTGCTGTAGATTTGTATCTGAGGAAGGCTGATTCTCTACTTAGGGCTAAAAAGATGAATTTCCACTCAGGAATCGGCCCAATAACACACAGGAAAGACTGTGTGCTTCTTCTAAACAGCAGGACAGTTCCATTATTCTTCCTCCAAGTGTGTTTGAACGGTGGCAGAGAGGCTGTTTACACTGACGGTACCACTGAAATAAACACATTAAGCCATGCTGAGCGTTCTTATCAAAGCAGTCCCTGCAGAGTGCCGGTTGACATGGACACAGTAAATATAGCTGGGAAGACTTGGCCAACAGTGCGAAAGGTGCAGCTCTGTGTGATCTCCCTGTGGCTCCAGCCAATCTGTACAGTCTGCATTTTAGACATCAAGCTGACTCCGAAGGGAGTTCCTCTGAATGCTGTAAGCTTCACCTCCTCAGCAAAACTTCAGGACGTTAAGTTACAAGCAAGAAGCAGGTGTGCAACCTCCTTCAGCTACTAATTTTAAAAGGTTACTGTGTTTAAAGGAGATGAGATTGACCTGGTAATTTATGCACTAAGATAGCTAACAGGCAAATATAAATCACTGTGACCCCTGAAGGGATGCTGTATTCTAGCAGGAAAAGTGCCCGTGACTGCTTTCAGGGTCAGAACAATGGCTCAGTCTGGTCGTGTTTGTGCAGGAGGCCGACATGTAACTTCTTTGGAGGAGGCTGCGGTTGCAATAACCAGAAAACAAGTTGGTATTGTTTTTGTAGGGAGAAAACAGAAATGAACAAAGTGGAGAATGATTTCTAGTGTTTGCTTTTTACTTTCCTTCATGGTTTCATACGTTGGCCTGCATTGCTACAGCATTGGTTTTGAATGGCTAACTCAGACTTCAAACATATTGGCTCAGTGTACCCTGAATGACATGTTTAGTCTTGACAGTCTTGTTTTGAAGACTTTTGACTGAAGTGAGGAACTTGAATTCAGGATCGCTGGACGACCTGCGTTTCTGTTGTTTTAGCAACAGGCCTAAACAGTTCTCCCTCTGTTAGTGTACCATGAATATGATGACATCTGAAGCATATGTTATTATCTTTTATTTATTATTATTTTTAATAAATCAGTGCAAGAAGTTATAGTGGATATATTGACAAGCAACCTTACTCTGATTGAAAATAAACTATATCTTGTCCTTGTTTTCACTTGGCACTGAGAAGGACTATTGTACTTTGTTTTCTTTACAAACAAAGTGTCATCTCATCGCCTTGTCTGATTCTATTTTTTTTCTGTCCTTTTTAGGTTCTAATCACCATCTACTGGTTGGGTCGTGCTGCCAACGGCTGTACCTCCTACAACGGTCCCACGCTGGACCTGAAAGAGTTCGAGGGCCTGCTGTCACAGATGCGAAAGGTTTGCCCAGTCCTATTTAGTAATGACCAGGACTAGAAATATCTAAATCTAAAGCACAGGGACAATTTATCAGGAGTTGAATAGAGATCTCTTAGCAAACTGTATTTAAACTTAGCAAATCATCTGACAGTGTATAACACCCCCCACCCGAAGTCTAGGGCTGACCTCGGTTAAACTGGGTCCTTGTGTCAATCATCTGGTTCCACCTCTTCACCGACCCGAAGGGACAAAGAGAAGTTAGCATTAGCGAGCCCTCAAGACACGCATACAGACACACGGTAACAACCACTCGTAACCATGATGTCACCCCGATGAGATTTATTCCTCAATGTGACGTCCCCTTTTTCTGCTCTATTAAACTGACAAATCTCTGCCAACTCAGCAGAATAACTTTACCAGATGCTCCCACGTTGCCTCTGACCAAAACAAAGCCACGTTTCTATAAAACAAAAAACAGATTGATAATAAAATGAGATTTGAAAATCATGGAAAGCACTTTATTTGCATGTATTAAAAAAAGGAAATTGGCAGTTAACATTTCACTTCTAATGCTTATGAAATGGAAACTGGGCCTTTTTTTTTTTAAATTATGATTGTAATGCAAGAAGCTGGTGAATGTGTGAACCAACTGCATTTCCATCTGCTCACTTCCTGTTAGTTGCTCAGGATAAATGCATCAGTTAAAGGATCCGTTCACTCAAATTAGGAAAAAAATATAATGTGTAGCCATCCGACGGGGTTGGATTTATTTGTCTACATTCTGAGATGTCCCTCTCTTACGCCCGGCTACCGCTGGATCCTCCGCATTATGTCAATAGTCACGTGAGCAGAAGCCTGGCTCGTCACCCCAGAAGATCATTACTCCGCTCCAGTCAACAAGCAATTCTGCTCCTCTGCTCTTTTCTACAGAGCTAATCTCTCTCTGTGTGTCTGTGTATTTGTGTCTGCTAATCACATTAAATCCCTGTTTAGACACAACTGACAAATATGTGTAATAAGTAGCCTGCTAGATTTAAAATCCACAATCACAAACAGCAGTGACGCTGGCCTATTTCCAGGAAATATAGCGGAGACCATATTTTGAAATTTATCATTGGGAGGTGGGGTAATCAGGGAAATTGAAAGTCCAGGAAAACAGCAGCAAATGCATTGGCAAGCATGCATTTAATCATTTATCAAAATCTATATAATATATAGTTTGTATCATTTGTAGTAGATTATCAGTGTGCTGTCTTGCCAGATTTTCTGACGCCATGCATAGAAGACTAATTTGAGTGAACAAAGTTTTTTAGCTCTAAATACAACGCATCTTTACTGTAGAATGTCACGGCTGCTTTATCAAAGAAAGATAAAGACATAAGTGAGAGAGAATCTCTGTGCCAGTACAGCTGAGTTGCATAACAGACGGTCCAGGGGAACAGGAAGTCTTCTGGTAGACAGGAAAGGCCTTTCCCCACCTTCCATTAGCTGCATAGACCTGTTTGAACTGTAGACAGACAGGGGGGGGTCACTGAGGTGAAGAGAGAGTGAGAGGGATTTGAGCAGAAGAACTGATGAGAAAATGCAGAGAGGACGAAGGACAAACGGCAAGAAGATAAGGTTGATCTTGGACTTACAGTGAGATGTTTATAGGGGACAGAACACAAACAAAATCTTCAGATGTTGGTAAAAATGTAATTCTCTTCACACAACACAAGTTTACTTGATGCACTTTGCACAAAATGTCATGCATCTTCTCTTTTGTATGCACAAATGTTACACTGATTTGTGCATTTGATATAAGGTGGGCGTGTCTTTCTAAATGTTCAGGAGGCGGAGGAGGCAGAGAGCCCTAAACGCAGCATCCGGGACAGTGGCTACATCGACTGCTGGGACTCCGAGCGCAGCGACTCTCTCTCCCCGCCGCGCCACGGCCGCGAGGACTCCTTCGACAGCCTGGACTCCTTCGGCTCACGCTCACGACAGACCCCGTCGCCGGACGTCCTGGTCACCCGCGGCAGCAGTGATGGTAAGAACTGGACTACTCCTCACACACTTTACAGTCATACTCACCAATTACACAAGTTCATATTGCTTGTGAAGGTGTGATCGTGTGATTGGACTGACCATCCTTCAATTTAAAGGTTGCAGGTTAAATCTGTTTTGCCATCGTGTCATTTTATCCAAACCACAAACTGTATTGTTGAAGGGAAGTAATTCACTACTTCTGATATAGTGTATAGATAAATTAGGTAATTGTCTTTGTAGTGCTACTGTAATGAAAACTGTTGTTTACACAGAACAACGCCCAGTATTTGAAATATATTGTGCTGAAGCCAAAAATGGTGTTAAAAATAGTTTGGCTGCATTTAAGTACTTTAAAATGCCAAGTCGACCATATGTCGTCATTCAAAGCTGTTCATTGCTCCACTTTATTTGAATGTGATCCTTTTTTGAATTTGCATGACAGCCTATAAAAGATTACAGAAGTCGTCACAAAGCTTCATGTTCTTTTCATCTCTGAAGAGCCTGTGAGAGAACACGGAGCGCGGCCATCATCCCGTCTGACTGCGTTTTTGTCAGAGTACAAAGGAAGTAACTAAAAACCTCGCTGGATGTTAATGTTTGCTTCTCAGAAACAAGAGGGAATAATCAGACCTCAATATCTACTGTTTAAAACAGAGAAAATATCCTTATAGTTTTTGATAACAGGAACTCATTTTAGCTTTACATCAGTGGCAAATCAAATCATCCAAAATGACGGACATTTAACGGTCAAATTTTTGGAATTATGTTGAACAATCCGGAGAAATCCATCGCAGCTGTTTGAGAGAGTTTTCTTCTCAATAGGCCACAAGCCACCAACACGTAACCCACAGCTGATTAGACACATTGTCAAGCTGCTCCTAAGCAAAGTATTGTGCTCTGTCATTCTGGAAAAATTAACCAAATTGTTAACCGTAATCCCTCCAAAACACAGCATTCAGACACCAAGACCTCGAGGAACACCATAGAAAAATCTATGATGTAATTTGGTATCAAAACCTTTTGACGTTTGGAGATTTCTGCAAGAAATACAGTTTTTGCTGATCAGATGGTGAGCATTTTATTGTCAGTATACCTTTGAAAGAATCCTCTGAATGCCCTCGGTCTCTAGTTTGTGGTTGTAAAGTTTCTGAGGTCAATGCTCTCATTGTGTGAAATTACTACTACGGGGACTAACACCATCACACATGAATACAAAGGGACTCATCTGTCAGTTAGTCAAGACCAAGATCAACAAATTTGAGGTATTTGAAGGTAACATACTGTCAGTGTGCAGATCAGACCCAGGAGGCACGGACTAGTGATAATAGGATAACAATGCTTTGAGTACACCCAGAACAAGAGCATCTATTTATTCCCATGCACACAAAGTTCACTCAGCCTGACCTTTTTTTTTAGACAAAGCCTTTCACTGTTCAGCTCTGTAAACTGACTTCACCCGGACAGTAATTGGGGGACAGGGAGACGAATCTTTAATTCAGTCTCAATGCAATATTGCAGATGCTCTTTTGTTTGGGCCGGGTTTTGTGAGTGTTGATAAATGAGACAATTTTGTCCTCCTCTCTTTCTCTCTGTGCAGGACAACACCCAGTGCTAGTCAAAGGCTGTTTGAAACAATAAACCGAGGGATAGAAATTGGCCATCGCACAGGTTTTGTAAAGTACCAGTTATCCAGTCTGTAAAATGTTTCCATGCTATGGGAGAAATTGGAAAAAAGCATGAATACTATCCCAGAAAGTGTCATCATTTATTTGACTTTAATACTATAGGAAAAGTTAAAGGGAATCACTATCACTCTTCATTTGTAATTCTGTTTCTGCTTCCCAGTTACTGTAGCGCATATTGAACTTGACCTCGTGGCTTTTACACTTCTTGTGGTATTACTGCATGTTGATGGTTATTGACATAAATATGTTTCTGTGAAGCTCTGGTACCGTGTGGCACTGACCCATGACAAACACTCCCTCGAGCTTCAGTGTTCCCAGATGTGCAGAGTGAGCAGATCGTCCCGTAAAGACACATGTTGCTCCTTAAGGATGGATGGACTCAGATGGTAAAGTCGCTCGGGTTTCCAATTGATGAGCTAAGAAGAGTCATAATTGAACCACTCAGTTGGAAGTGCAGATACCTCAAGGCCTCTTTTGGACCTCGATCTGTCAATCTTTTAGACCACTTAAAATGAAGTCTATTGATAGAAAAGGAGGTTTTTTTTACAACTGCAAAATGGGACATTTGTTTCCACTGAGAGCTGCAGCTGCATCCACTTGTATCGGTTCAGCAATAGGGGAAGATTTCACGCTTTAGATCTGGTTGAAATTGTGGGTTTATACTTGGAAAACGTATACATTGAGTCATAAATTCAGAGGGCATAGATTGAGTAAGCACACATCCAGAGGGAGGGGAGTTCCAGTAGCACATGTGCTGAACATCTTGGAGAGGAATTCTGAGAGACCTTGGGTAAATCAGGGCTGCAGGTATCCATTACCTGCAGTTTCCAAATGTTGAATTAGGGTAAGCAAAAAAACAAGTGAATGAAGATGGAATGACTGGTATGCTGGAAACGGTACATCAATGGGATTTATCCTCATTACTTTTTTTTTTTGTTGTTTTTTTTGTTTTTTTTTGTTTTGTGTGCATCACACATCTTGCGGAGGAATTTAAGACGTCCTTGAGCGATGCACTTCTGCAGCACCAGGTGTTGCCTCTGACATGAAAGAGCTAACAATGTTTTTCAGATGGGATGCAGACAGACTCTGCGGCATCCTGAGTGAATTCTTCCGAACTGTAGGCTAGAATTTAGACTGCACGAGCTGCACAATACAAATTTCCTGATGATTTATGTTACTTGCTTTGTTTCATAAAAACAGGCCGTCAACCCGCTTGGGATTGATTTATGAGTGCACTGCATATAATATCACTGGAACAGCACTTTAATGTTATGTCGTCTTATATGATGTAACGACATTGGGGGAAGTGGAAATGATATTGTTTTTATTTATATTTTTATTGTTTGTCTCTTTTGTAGTTTTCTTTTTACCACAAATTATCATTCAGAAGGTTAATGGAACATATGAGAGACATTGTATGTATATGGAAGAGTAATAACAGTATGAGTTAACATTTTAAATGGGTCATTTGCTGTTTGATAAATATCTGTGTTGTTTTGTTACATTTTCAATCTCTTATGAATCTGAACAACACTTACAACACAAGAACCTGCGAGGATATTACATTAATGAACTCCTTCACCCTCCTCTTCTCAACAGGCCGCGGCAGTGACTCCGAGTCCGACGGCCCCCCCCACAGGAAGATGCCAGACGTCCGTAAGGATGACATGTCGGCGCGGCGGACGTCCGTCAGCGAGCCGCGGACCGCCATGCCCTTCAACCAGTACCTGCCCAACAGGAGCAACCAGAGTGGCTACGTGCCCACGCCGCTCCGCAAGAAGAGGGACGATAAAGAGGACGGAGCGCGCAAGAGTTGGAGTACTGCGACTTCACCTGTAGCCGGAGACAGACCTTTCAGGTGAGTCTCACTGTTTAGACTCTTATTTACAATTAGAAGGGAAGAATCACAAGCAGAGCTTTAATCTGAGAATCGGGTTTTAAATCAAGCAAACACGGTATTGACGATAACGAAAGTGTAAAGCAACTGATCTCAATATTATGATTTAATGATGAAAGTCTGTGAATGAAACATTTAACCACTTTACATTATACAATATTTAATATAAGACATTTTACACAGGAGCTTTAAATATTCTAGGTTTGTTTCTGTATTTGTCTAAAGCAACTGTGAATATTAATAGTATACAAGGTGGTGAAGGTCCTGGTGTAATTGCATAATAAACTGGTAATTTGGGGACTATGACCTTGTTTTAGCTTGAAATGGATTTGCTGGATTTAAAAACCTTTTAAAATGTATTCTTGTTACTGTTTGAAACTATTTTGTTTCTGTCAGAGAATTCGACAAAATGTGTGCTTGTAGCTGAAAATGCAGTTTGTCCAGAAAATGTGCTGCAATACTAAATGATGATCTAGTCTCCTTCGTGCAAGTTTGGTAAATTAAATGTATTATTATGGACACAATGGAATTTATTATTCTGGAAGTAGACCATGAAGGATATACGAATCATATGTTGTTTATTATTCAAAATGTCTAATACGAACCAGCATCTTTTTTTGTAAATTCTGTAACTTTTAATAATTTTGCAGGAGAAGATGTCACTCGTGGCAAATTACAGATTAATGTTTAAACAGTTTATTATTGTTCTCTGCCCAGTAGTGTAGATATGAGAGATGCTGATGGAGGCCACATGTGCGTTTTCATTGGCTCTGACTCTGATTGAAGCGAAAGTTTGAAATATGTTGCATAGACGAGGCAGATTAAAGTCTGATGGTCTTATTGGCAGTTATTGGTTTGGCATGTCAAGAGCGCTGGTTTTATCATGGCTCTCACTGTAGAAGGTTCACATTTCTGCTGGCTTAGTGGATTCCTTAACGTGCTTTGATCTGTTGAAATGTCAGTGTGTGCAGTGTTAGTGTGTGTGTGTGTGTGTGTGTGTGTCTAGTGTCAGGATTTAACTGGAAGTAGTTTTTGGACGTAGTATTATTTAACTGTAGCAGCAGCAGGAGATCGAAGATATAATCTAACAGTTACCCAAGTGTGTTTACATTTTCATAAAGTGCTGCGAGTGGGTGTGTATACAGTAGGGCAGTGTGTAGTGGGTTATGTGTGTGTGTGAGAGAGAGAGTTGTTCCTGTGTGTAACACCCATTTTGTGTTAATCTGTCTTTCATTCCCCCTGTTGTTAACTTCATCCATCGTGTTACACAACATGTTGTGCGCATGTATTCATGATTTTGCATTACTGTTCTTTTTTTCTTTTATCTCCATCTCCTTCCTTTGCGTCCGTCATGGTGTTTTCACTCTTGCCTCCCTTCTACGTCTTGTGTGTGTGAACCTCATTTTTCCCCACATCTGTGTGTTCCCTGTCTCGTGTCCACCATGTTGTGGTCATTGCTGCTAATTCTGCTCCAATGTCATTACGTCATCCTTTTCCTGTGTGTGTGTGTGTTTGTGTGTGTGAATGGGCGATGTAACAGTCCAAATGAGGTCCCTAGCTTAGACGACCCACTTGGAGAGTCTCCCAGCCCTCCCCTCGAACCCCAGATACAGATTCAGACGGTGACCCAGACTAAAATGGACGAGGAGGAAGGGGAGCAGACTGCTTCCACACCTTGCATTAAGATCTATGCGGTGGGCGTGAGGAGGAGCAGTGAGCCTCTGCCCCATGCAGAGCCCCGCTCGGAGACAGTCACTCGCCTGATGGTCACCTCTGAGCAAAGGTCTTCACCTCGATTCATGTTTTTCTTAAATCAGCTGCCCAATTCTATTTGACACAGTTCTGATTCACATTTCCTCAAAATTAACCAAAGATAATAGATCGCCTTATAGCATTTTGAATTGTTTGTTTAGATTTCTCTAATGATAGTTTGGTGATATTGTTGTGTGGTGTTTTTGTTTTTTGACAACTCCACCTATTTCATACACAAAAGTCTGTTTACAGGCTAGTGTTACTGCATTTGGGGAAAATAAGTTGTAAAAAGACTTTTTGTGTCTTCAGAGGGCAGCTATGTGAAGTCTGATGTATTTCCTCAAGTGATTACGCTCACAATTGTGAAAATGCAGAAAAAACGGTGTGTTTTGGAGTTAGAAAAAGTGAGGTAACCAGACCTGTCTGTTCCTCATCTCTGCTAGAGGTTTGAGGCTACATTAGCTGCTGCTAGCATGGTCTTGCATACCCAGACGTATCTCCACAGCACTGTGTCGGCACTAAAGAAAGTTCTGGCTCCGCTCGCTATCATTCTGGTAAAGGGGGGGGGGGGGGGGGGGGGGGGGGGCTTTGGTTTGATTGTATTTCTTTAAACAAATCACAATCTTCTTTGGCGGCGGTAAGCATGGGATGCAGTGAAATAGAGGGAAGAGAATGGCAGACTTATACCCACAGTCTACATCACGTGAGGCAGACTACTACAAGCACAACACACCAGAATCACCGACCACACTGTTGACGGCCGGAAGAAGAATGCTTGGAATAAGAAAAAACAATGGCTCTTTTCTGCTGGATCTATTTGTATGCAGTGCTAAATCTGTTGGAGAGTTATTTAAATGACTCGACCGTGTCTTGAGTCAGCATTGCAGGTTCTTATTGCAGCAGAATATTTGCTGTGTTGAAGGGTCAGTTCACCCAAACAAGAAAACAACTCAACTTGCCACTAGGGACATCTAGCAATGCAGATAATTTCAGCTTCATGTTCATATTTGCCCACTTTGACTGCCTGCCTGCACGACCATACTAGATGAATGGAATTGTATTTGTGCCACTCAAAATACTGAAAAGTTCCACAAATCTGCAGCACATCTGTCCAAAAACAATCTCCCAGTTAATCGGGGTAATCCACTTATTTCGGTTTCCATCAGGACTGTCTCTTTGTTGTACAATAGTTTCAATTTTCACAGCCGGTATTTCCATCCAGCCCTTTTCATTTTTGGCACTGCCATTACCAGATCATCGTTTCCAATGCCGTTCTTCTTCAGAGCAGCATAACGGTGAGTCAGCGAGAGGTCCAGGGCTCAATGAAACATGGAGATCACACTGTTGTAATGCAGAGTCTTTACCCAGCAGGCCAGCCAGGGGTCACAAATTATCAGCTTTGTGTCGGATTAACATGGTGAGGATTATGAGCTGTGAAGCTGCTGTTGTATATCTCACAGTGCGGAAGACCATTATGATTGCAATATTTGTCCCATGAAGAGTCTGTTTGGGTCTCTGTTGTTGATTCACAATCCAGCCCTATCTTGTGCTATTTCCTGGTCCAGCAGTCGTTTCATTCACAGTCCTGTTGGAGAGTTATTAGTCACACCCCCTGTTTCCAGCTTTTTCTGGCACAGATGTTATGGCATGGATCGGATTGTCAGCATTTCAAGGGAGTGAAAAGAATGCTCAAAGGAAATCTGACTTGTGTATAGCTGCGTTCCAAAGAAAAGGGGGATTTCTAGGGTGTTTTTAAAAGGCTTTAATATCAGCATCTTTAGTTGGTATCAGTTTGCATTTTTCAAGAAGAGAACTGAGGCTGGAATTTGTGTGTTTTAGTGTTGCCAGGAGTTAAATCTTTGAAAAACAGTTGTTTAATATCAACATATCGAAGGTTTGCAGTCGCCCATCAATGTTTTGTTTACGAGCTTCTTCAAGATCACTTGAACTTTTTCTGGCAAATTCCAGGAACAAAACTGCACACCACCCCTTCAAATACAGACCCATGCATATATCCAGCATGTACACACAAACATGTACTGTATGGTGTTCACACAGAAACACATTCCCAGAGAACGTGAACATGCAACCCACCCTCAGGATGTAAGGAAATGAGGCTTTCTTCCTTCCCTGACCCTGAACAGACTGGGACCGGAGCCTGGCCTTTTCACAGCATGTCTCTCCCTGCAATGCATCCTGTGGATTTATAGTTCAATAATAACCCTTTCAGAAAGTAGCTGGATGACAGACAACTGAGGGTTCAGCGAATTTTTGCTCTTGGCTTTGTGACTCCTATTTGTTTTCACTTCCGGTCTGCTCGGATGAGGTTTGTAAACCTTGTTAGCTCGTCAAGAAAAACTCCATTTAGGCTCCTCCAGAGGAATGCTGTCTGATGAAATAGGATGATAACCAGGCAGCAGTACGTTTTAGTTTGCTTTGCTTTCTGCAGTACTCCAGCTCGCTCGTGCTCAGAGGAACTATTCCACCATTCGACGACTCGAGCAGCAAGCGCTGCAACGAGCCCCGTCATCACCTCCGAGAAACATCCACCTGTGACGGAGCAGCAGCAGGTGGAGAAGGAGGAGGAGGAGGAGGCGGCTGTGAGGAAGGCAGCCGCTGGTGTCCCGTCAGTCGCAGATGGCGAGCGAGATGAGAAGCGGTCCCGCCAAACGCTGACCTCTCCCAAACATGTCACCACCCCGAGTCCCCCCCACTTCCTTCCTGTGCCCACTGCCGATACAGGCCGACGGAAGGGGAGGGCGCTGAGTGAGAGTGACGACCCGCAGAGAGGGAACTCTTGGTCGGACAGCAGTCTTCCAGCAACGTGAGCCCCCTCCAGCAACTACACTACATTTAATGAACTAAAACTGCACAATTCATCTTTAAAATCAAGGGATCTACTCTTATCTCAGCATGTGACCTCGACCTCAGACCACAATGCTGCTGTCTGGATGACTTAACTATCTCAAGATTGCATCACCTTTTTTTTTCATATGAATGCAAATTGATATTGCTTTCTAAAAAGCTGTTGTTGCTGTAAAGAGAATGCATGGAAACATATTAAGACATTTGGAGAAGAAGCGTTTGAGAATGTATTTTTTGATGAACTGCACGCGACCTTAGATGGCATCCTTTGATCTCTTCAGTACACCCAATTAGGGGAATTGGGGCAATAGACACTTAATTTGACCCAATTTGAACCCAAATTATTTGGTAATAAATTGGTCAAACCATTACCAATCAATCAAACATCCACCATTCCAATGTCTGCCAGTAAAAAACTGGCTTTAGCGTAAACCCCACTGTGTCACAGCCTGACATCTTCCTACAAACAACATACGGCAAGTAGACATTTTACTACAACAAATAGTCTATCTGGCCCTGGTTTAGCGAGGCTTCTCTTAATTTAGTCTCCTTGTTCTCTTGTGGCGAGAAACCACATGCCACACTGTCTCTCACACCCCTCGAACATCACAGAGGCAGCTCCATAAAACAGACCGTGTGAAGACGCAGGTTGAGGCCAAACCTACAGCAGTTGGTCACAGACAGAAAGAGAGCCACATCCTTGATGTTTCTCGTGTGCTGTCTAATAAAATATGCATGTGCTTCTTTTTTTTCAATAGTTAAGTGTCGGCTGCAGTCTTAAGATCATTGCCATTTGCATCTGTTGTATGCTAGCAGTTTTGGTTTGCAGTGATGCAGTAAACTCATCTTCTGCTCTGGCTGTGTTATGGATAAGACTGCCCCCTTGTGCTTGGTTGGAGGATCAGCAGTAAACCCAGAAGCTGACATACACATCTGTACATGGATGCAAAACCAGCAGGCACACTTGTTTAAAACAATAATAATGAACCATTCTCAACTCATTGTCAGCTGTGATGTTACCCACCAGATATCAAATATTCCATCACTGTGTTTTGATATTCTCGTGAGTGAATGACGTGTTCCTCTGTCGAGTGTCCTCGTATTCATTTGTGATTGTGCTCTCTCTCCATGCTCTCTGCCGTCTGTAGATTCAGCCGCACACATAGTGTGTCAGATGACCCACAGTAAGTCGTCCATTTACCACTGAGAGCTCAGCTATCTGGCCCAGCACTGCTCTGCACTAAAAGACAAAGACCTCTCAATAAGTCATTCAATCGTTCGTTGAGTCTCTGAATTGGATTTTTCTTTATGCAAGTGGGAAAATCTGCCAACGGTTGAAGTCATTTAAAGAACTTTCTTGAAGTCGTTGGCAACAACTAAATCTTTTGATGTTTTTGTTTGATCAAATATTTTGTGCCAGTTTTTAATGTCTTTGTTTATCGTTTTTAATGATGTAAGCCCTGAGAGGAAAGTGCGACAAAAAAAAACTCTATTTTCTAAGTCTGATCTAAATAGCTTGTGTTTAGAGTGCACGGAGAAATTAAAACTCACCTGGAAGAATATTATTTTTATTTTTCACAGAAAACTAAATTTGAAAAATTATTCTGACAAAACAAATCTTTTTTTTTTTTTTTTTTTTTTTTTTTTCCCCCCCATCTGGAAAATCAAAAAAACTTAAAGCGATTATCCTGGCAAAAACCTGTTCTTACGTTATAAACACAGAAGAGTAAACGATTCAATCATTCGCTTTAAAACTTAGGAAAGTGACGACATGTGCTCATGCAGGGAAGAAAATCCTCTAAAATGGCCACTCAAACCTCTCATCTTATCCTTTAATTCTCTACTGAATGTCATTAAGAAGTGATTTAATTTACAGTATCTTAGCAGCTCCCACACAAATAGTTTTCAGGCAGAATTTGAGCTGAATGAGATCAATTAATTTATAAAACACTGAAGAGTGAAATGACTGGACCAAAATATTCCATGTAAAGACAGATGATTTTATGTGATTTAGGACAACTCTGTACAGAAGTGTTCTTTAAATGGAAAACAAAAATGTCTTAAATTTAGCAGATTTTTCATACTTGCATTTCTTAAATTTAGATTGTAAATAAGTTAAATGACTTGTTAAGGTGAAGGTGTTTGACCGCGTGCTGGCAGACAATGTCCCTGGAGATCATGAAAATGTGTTTTCAATAATACTACATCCATTCCTCTCAGATGTATTCAAAGGTCTGCAGTAGAGGCTGTGGAGAGGACTAACTAAACTGTGCTGCTCCGACATCAGCTCCGTGCTTCTACTAGCTGCATGTTTCACGTAACGCAACCATTTCAGTGACCCTCATAACTCCACATCCCTTACAAAACAAACCATCATGGTGATGTCATTTGTTGATGTAAAAAGTGCAGCTTTTCATGAAGCAGGAGAGCTGATTCATAACTAGGAAATGACTCGCATGCTTTGTTTGTTGTGATTCAGAGGAGCAGTTGTTCAGCATTGTACCCGTCCCACTAACCTTTACAATAAAATAACATGTCCGTCATCTCTTCCATTGTTCCACCCAATATTGTATGTTGGCGATCAGTTTTTTTGAATATTAAATCAACTGTTATTGCTCTCATGACTTTGTTTTACCCGTTCTAAGTGTGTGATGAGCTGCATGCTCCTAACCAAAAGGCTGCACTTCACTGTCTTGTTTGTTAGCTAAAAATGCTTTAACACGACTGACTGAACAAATATGAAGACCAATGTGACCACACGGGTTGTTGCGTAGAACCACAGGTGCCTGCACCTGAAGCTGATGTTGTCAAAGGTCTCATTAAACAACCTTAATGTGAGGCATTTCCTGTTGAGACAAATGTTGGAGTGTGACGTGATTATTCAAAAGGAAAAATGACGTACTACTTTTTTGTTTTGTTTTATTTTAATTGTCTTATTGGTTTTAATTGGTGAGCAAGAGGTTACCTTTGAAGATGAACAGTTTTCCATTCATGTGGTCTTATTTTTTATTTCTATGTGGTTATCCATGCTGAGCCATTGGTTACAGGTTATTCTCTTCTCCTGATAATGATGGATTTGATGTGTTTTTTTATGTTACAGTATAAACATAGATTAGGGGGAGATATCATCTTATTAGCCATTGCTATGTTTAAAAAAAAAAAAAAAAAAAAAGGTTTGGTTCAAAGTTTAGTGTTTCACATGACTATATGAAACACATAGTCGCCAACGTACAAACATACCGTACTAACCGCACAATGCACGAAATAAAAGTGTAGAATCACTGGCGGGCTCACTAAAAAAACTAAACCATGTCCTACTCTGGAAATGACATGTTGGCACATCTTTTTCACTTTCCATATTCTCTGTCTGTGTCTCTCTCTCTCTCCCTCCTCTCCTTAGAAGTGTGAGTATGATCGACATGCGTGGTGAGGAGGAGGCCATGTTGCAGCCTCACAGTCAGGTGCGTCATGAGCTGATGCACAACCAGTACAACAGGATGAAGGAAGAGGACGATCACTGGCAGGATGTGAGTCTCTCCGTTTTGTCTGACTATTCTTATTTCCCTCGGTTTGTGTATTTATTTATGTTTGAGTAAGATAGTTTTGTACCTTCTGGATTGGGATTACTTTGTCTCATCTGCTCAGTTTGTATTTCTTGTCTCTATTGCGTCAGGAGTTTATCAGTTATGTGCAATGATTTGAGTGCCTGCAGGCTAAAGCAAAGTAATGTTTTGCTGTGCCCCAGTTAAACAACTTAAATCAGTTTTCTAGGGCCACAGCAGTGCTTCAGGTCTCACAGCGCTGCAGAGCCAAGCCCTCTTGCCTTGTTTCACTTGCAACTGAAACTCTTTCCAATCTGTTTGTGTGTCAGGACCTAGCCCGATGGAAAAACCGGAGGAGGAGTATCTCCCAGGACCTGATCAAGAAGGAGGAGGAGAGGAAGATGATGGAGCAGTTGATGACTGGAGGCCCCTGTGTCTCCCAGAGGAGAAGAAGCATCAAGACCTACAGAGAGATAGTGGAGGAAAAGTAGGTGAAATGCACACAAATAGGATGTTTGATTTGTATTCAGCGAAAAGTACAAAACGATACCAGTATAATGGGACACTAGGCCTTTCTTAGAGAAGAGGCTTTAATCTTTATTCTAATTCCTGTTAGTGAGCACAAAGGTGACAGCGACTCCTCCTGGAGTTCATTTAAGTAGGTCTCCCATAGAGAACAAGTAAACTAGGAAGAGCAGGTCTGCTGAGTGAGGTAGAAGAAATAGATGTCTATGATGGGGAAGATCATCTTTGATCAAATCTTGTTAAATTTGATGTGTAGTTTGAACAGGTAAAATCAGTTGTCATATCACCTAACAATATATGTCATATCAGTTGCTTCACATTTTACACAGCTGATTTGCTTTGTTATCCCTCCTCCACCTCCTTTTCTCTTCAACAGGGAGCGTCGTGAGGATGACCTGCGGGACGCGTACCGGAGAGCCAGAACCCAAGAGGAGGCGTCGTCCATCCTGCAGCGTTACGCCCAGCGCTTCTCCATCAGTGAAACAGTCCTGGAACGCCTACAGTTGCCAAATCTCCTGGACCGCAGCATATCTGCTGATCCCTCCATTCCCTGCTCTCCCTTCCCTCTCTCCCTGTCCGCCTCCCCGACGACCCCAGACCCCTTCGACGTGGACCCCGACGGGCCCATGAGGTATCTGCGCCAGCAGTCCGCCCCGGCTCCGAAGTTCACGTCCACACTGGAGGCGCGAATCGAGGAGTTCCCCAAAGACTCCCCCCCCGCACCAGCGGCCTCAGATCCGCTCTCGCTCGTCCGAGCCGCCGTCCACTCGAACCCTGTCGCCCAAACCGGTGCCTTTGCTGATGCCCAAGCCTTACTTCCAGCCCCGGTCCTCAGCGGGTGAACCATGGCCTAGCAAGGTGAGACTGACTCAGAAGCGCTTGTCATCATCTCAACTTCCCATAAAAGTGAATGCGTTATTGCTGCTGTGACTACGCTTTACAGCATCCTAATGCCATGTGGGTTGTTGACATTTTAAGTGTCTGGTTGTCACCGTTAAACCTCCCCTCTCGCCCACAGTGTTGACTCTATTTAGACATCTTTACTCGTGATGGCTCGTAATGATTGAGATTCGGTTAGTGTGACTGTCTTGACCACTTTACATGTGGTTACTTCCCAGTGTTGGCTGATGTCCTCACAGGCTGGTGGATGAATTCCCCTCCAGCTCTCTTGGCACTTCCATTAGGATGCCACAGAACCGCCATGGTGATGAGTCGGGTGGTTTCTAGGAAAACACGAGACTCCCCCTCCCAGAAGAAGCATGTAATGTTTCAGTTTAGCTCAAAGTACTCTCAACAGGATCCATTTCCTTTTCTTCTTCTAAAAAAAAAAAAAAAAAGAGAAATCCAAATGGGAATATTCAAAATGAGATCCTATGTTTTGGTGTGGCGGGGAGGGGCAGATTATTACCAGACCAAATGGAGCACAGCGCTTTTCTGGAATGTCTTGTCAGGATTCTGAGTGGAGCTCGGCTTTGAATGGAGCCCTCTGTTCCCTATTGACTTAAGAAGTTCACAAGTAGGGTCCTCTCAATGTGAAGTGGGCTCCAGGCGGACAAAGAGGGCCCACACAGGCTGCTAGGAGAGGGATGAGAAGGTGGAGGCGGAGGGGGAGGGGGAGGGGGGGCCAGACTGAGAGCCTGCATTCACCCAACTCCACCACTGTGTCTTCAGTTACCGCTCACTAGGAGCTCCTCACACATACATTAGTGCCTCTTTGTCATATAGGCCAGCTAGATGAATAGCTAATAGCGGACAGAGATGAGAGGCTGGTAATGACCACGAATGAGGGCACTGGGTTTGTAGGCATGGGGTTCATCTTCATTTCTTTGTTTGTCATCAAATCATTTTGTGTACTGTTGAAAATATTTTGAGCTAGAGTAGCCTTATTGTACCGGAAATTCAGCCAATGTTTCCTGCAGATGTTTCAAAACTCTAAACCAATTTGTCATCCAGCTAAGTCTTATCACAAGTTAAGACAAATTATAAACATTAAGAATCTCATACAGAACCAAATTTACTCGTATGCACTAATTTTTTGATAAATAAATAATCCAAATCCTTTGGAATTGAACAGAATAGCGACAAAATTCAATGAAAGAGAATATTTAGCCCATCAGCCAAATATTCAACTGGTCATATTGTATTAATCAGGACAAAATAAATCTGAATTAAAATTCATCATGAATGAATGTACTGTCTGGACATTTCTTATGACCATTTTATGCTTTCAAAGCATCTTCTTGAACTCTGCAGTGTGTATATGAAGTCAATATTAAACATGTTGTCTTCCCATTTAGGTGGATTGTTTGCTCCGAGTCAACGGCGACATAGGAAGTGACGACGTTCCCACCACGCCTGAGAGTCGAGGAAGGGAATCTCCTCCTCACTTCCAGGCGTCGCCTTCCAAAACCAGCAACAGCACTGTAGATGCTCCCTCACCAACACGCAGCCCGCTCACCTCAACCAGAGGAGAAAACCCCGCGTCAGCAAAGGCCAAGGAGGCTCAAAGTGGCACAGAACTGACTTCTAAGGACGTCCAAGAAGAAAAAGTCATCTGTCATTCAACACCACCCAGCCGGCCCACCTCGCTCCCATCGGTCAGGAATTTTACTAAATAGTAGTAAAGATAACTGTGTGACATGTTCACATCCTGCCTTAGCTATTTGTCTATAAATGCATTTTACAGTCTCGTGATTATTGAACTCTTCAAGACTGGAATCAAATGTGTTATACATATGCCTCACGCACTACATATGCCTCTTGATCTCAGGCTTGTTTGATTTATTATTCATCTTTGAAACCATCTGTGATGCTTACAGGAGCTGCAGAAGCCAGAAGAAAGCTTTGGGGAGACTGGAAGCCAGTCAGTAGCTGCTCCAGAGGAGGATAAGTCAAATGCTCAACAAACACCTCCTGCAGGTCTGAGCAGCATGTTGCTACACTGACCCCTTGTGGTTGATCGTAGACTTGTGTCATCCAGGTCATGGATTGTTATAATGTGACCTAGTTATGGAAGACACAAAAAATAGATCTTTTGAGGAAAAAATGTAAAAGGAAAGTGTCTTTTAAAGTTTTAATCAAACTGTGTTGTCTGTGTGTTTTCAGAAGCCAAACACAACATTGTCAAGTCAGGAGTCAACACACAGCAAAGTCAGCCTGTAACTTTACAGGTGAGGCTGCTACCAAAACTAACACAACCTTTAAAGAAACATTCACCCTGACATCCAACGGATAATCTTTGAATCTCTCTGCAGGCAAGTGTTCCCAGTTCCCAGGACTCGTCACAGAGAAGAGAGAATGTACCAAGCTTAGCTGCACCAGGATCGTTTGAATATCACCCACCAAGGGAAACGACAGCAGGTTGGTGAACTCTTTACATCCAAATACCAAGCCAGCAGCTTCTTTTCCATACACCTCCTTGGTTTCTGAGTTTGATTAGCATATCCTCCTTGCTGGCTTTTCCCCCTTTTTGCCTTTCTTTAAAGACCTAAGATTGTTTTTCCCAGTTATAATTAATTTACAGTATCACATGAGCACAACAGTAAAAGCCTTCCCCAGTTTGATTTCTCCAATTCTCTGTTGTCCATACAACTCTTGGTTTTGACATCTGTCTATCCCTTATCACTCCCTTCCCTTCCTTCCTTCCCTCCTTTCCTTCCACCCGCATATTTTTTATTTCGCTATAGAGCTTGCAAACAGTATCAGGTCTCCGCTGGCCACCAGCACCCCTAACTTACGCTGGGAGTTCTTCGTCCCGCCAGGTAAACCCCTTCATTCATCGGCGGAGCTCATGTTTCCGTCCCCGGTTGCTGAACGCACAGGGTTTCCCTGCCGTTTTTTCAAGGGCTGCACAACAGCCCCTTCAGTCCCATCTCTTGTTTGTCGCTCATTTCCAGAATGCTGTGGATGATCAGTGATGTGCTCTCGCTCTGTTGTAAATGTTTTTTGAAGTATAATGGTGTACACATGCTCCAGGTAGAACTCATCGGTGTTGCAGTGTTCTTTATTTTGACTCATACTGGTTTCATCATGTTGATTAGGATGCTTTTCCAAATTATCCAGTGGAGTAGGTCACCTATGCCAATTTATGACAATCCTCATAGATGACCTACTTAACTTTATGAATGTTCAGTGTTATGTTTACATTATCATCTTATCCACCAAAAGCTACAACATCAGGTCGACCTCAATTAAAGGTGCTCCGATCGATCGACCGATATTCATTCTAAATATCGATGGTCTATAAACAATTCCAAAATTGAAATGTTTTCAATACTTGTTTGCCTGCTTTCTCGCCCGCTCTTTAATTCACTCTGAGAGCGGATCAACACACAGACATGTGCACATAGAAATAGATTCAAATAGACCCCGTAATAATAAATCCTGACCAGAGCTCTCTTAACCTCAACATCTGAATCACTTCTAACCAGAGTAACTTTAAAAGTTTAGATTTACAGCTCTCCACATCAAAACATAAGGACAAAACAACAGCAAGATAAGACATCTTATTGGTTAACTCCAGATGCAGTATGTTGCTCTTGGTGGACCGGACTCTCTCTTTGTTTTCTTTCATCAGCATCTTCACTGCTTCAGCTGTCAAACCAACACTTGCCGTGATGTCATTTTCCTAAATATTTGTCCCATCTAAAGGCATTTTGTTTTCATGACATGCATCCAAAATGTTTGTGTAATTGTATTTTAACTAATGTTCCCTGCCACGTTTCCTCTACAGAAGAGATGGAGAAGGATCGTTGTGGAAACGTGAGTAAAAAGCATCATCTGACGACATAATATTTTGCTGTCAGATTCTGAAAACGTTTACCGCTTCTCATCTGGCTTATCTCCTGGGTTACAGTAGTGTAGTTTAACATACTGCATGAACACGGAGATTAAACACAAGTCAAATGCTGGAAACATAGTCTGCAGGTAAGGATAAGGAAAAATAAATACTTTCATCTAAATAGAAACATAACCTAAACACAGAAACATTTAAAAAAAGACTGTTGGCATCTAAACCTTTCATCATTTTCGAGGATCAGGTGTTTGTCACTGTGTTATACTGCCAGGCTCTACCACACATCACAGGACACACACAGCTGTTCATGTAGCATGCCAGATGAGGACGCTGTAGAAAACGGCCGAGACTGCTTTCGTTTTCGTTTGAGCTCATCTCTCTCTTTCTCTGTCTTCTCTCTCCTTAGTAGGAATCCTTTGGCTAGCATTGGAGTAGTGCTGTTGTGGTAGACCAACTATTTCTGTCTCCTCCCTTCCCTTCTTCTTTTCCTGTGGTGGATGTGTAAACACATTTGTGTGTGTGTGTGTGTGTGTGTGTGTGTGTGTGTGTGTGTGTGTGT